TCTATCTTCCCCAAACTGTCAATCCCAGTTCACAGAAAACTCGCTATACTTAAATCTTCTTTCCCCAAACCCAACAGTCCCTCACCTCAGATCACTTCGAGAGCTGCTAAAGGTGTTCGCTTAACTCCTATCTTCAGTTACTCTGCACCACACACACACACACACACACAAATATTGAAACTTGTGAAACATATATCTCTCAACTTTCTTATATTTATTTGGGGTACACATTCACACACGGCGATACACAAATTATGAATGTGAATTGTGAAATTTTATCATTTTCCTTTGTAGAAAACAAATTTGTATTAAACAAAGATGAGAGGTTGGGGAATGGAACAGTTAGGTATGCTGAATCAGTTGTGAATTCCAGCACTATTGCAGCCATTGTGACCTCGCTTTGTGGACCACCTGCTGCGGTGGGAATAGTCCGGTTATCAGGCCCGTCTGCAGTATCCATTGTCGGGCGTGTGTTTCGACAAGCTTCGGAAAAGAAGAGAAGAAGGCCTGACTGGCGGCCAGTTAGCCATGTTGTGGAGTATGGTGTGGTTGTGGATTCTCACGGGAATGTTATTGATGAGGTACTATAGATATGAATTTGGGTTTCGTTGTGATTTTTTTCTTCTATTATTAAATGAACTTTGTGCAGAGCAAAAATGGGACGGGAAGATATTTTATGCCCATTTTAAGGTTTTTGAGTATCTCTTGAAATTGTGTTGATTGGAATTATGTGCATTTGATGTATTTTTCGTCTTAAAGAAAAAAATTCACCGAGCTAGAGCGGACTAAGAGGAAATCATTTCAAAAAATTTATTTTGATAAAAAATTGTTTCTTTGAATAGTTTGCAAGATTGACAGTGGAACTTCTCATGGTTTACATTTTTTCACCAACTTAGTTTTTTTAAAAAAAATAAAAATAAGAAATCTCTTTATAAGCCTAATATATCCATGTTAGTTTAAACTCATGGCATTCATGAAGTTTTCCTATGAGGCCTTTAAGGACAAAGGGATAGAGGAAATGTGCATAATCCAAGTCATTTGGTGGTCTTGTTTATAGAATGCTTCTGAGTAGAATGCAACTATAAGTGTTGAATCTAATATGGCGTTCTTGTTTTCTTCTAGGTGTTGGTGGTTCCCATGTTGGGCCCAAAATCATACACTCGTGAAGATGTGGTTGAGCTTCAGTGTCATGGTAGTGAAGTATGCCTACGTCGCGTTTTGAGGGCTTGCCTAGATGCTGGGGCAAGGATTGCGGAACCAGGTCATCCATTTTTCTTTTATTGTTCTTCAAGTAATATATGAAAGTGACATTATTTTACTTACACCTTAATTGATCCACATTCTTACAAAAATTCATTTTTTTCAAAACTCATTTTCAACCACACATTCTTCAATAAAATAATATTACACTCAAATCCAAAACTTTTTCTTATTTTTTAACTACATATTTCTCATCAAATCACTATTTAAAATGTATTCTCCACTCAATAATGTGCATCAAACAGAGCCTTAGCTTCCTAGTTGACAAGAATATTTATTTGGAGAGCATTGTACTGTTTCAATTAACATCCTCTTTAAACCTCTTAGTGGTTGCATCATGCATAATTTCTTTTTACGGCCACCCAACCATGTAAGAACTTTTATTATGAACTAAGAAATGAGGCATCAAGGCGTCTGTAACCCATTTAAGTCGTAACTTCAAGCAACAAGCAATCTAGATAGCTTAGAATTCATACCTTTTTTAAATGTGCCATCTCTTGGTGTCTAATTTTGTAACTGTAATTGGATTTGGAATATGTATTTTTTGTTTATTTCATCTTAATTTAAATGGGGCTGCACGGAGGGAATTTTTTCTATTTAATCCAGGAAAGCTATTTAGATAGTGGTCCCTGGTTCAAGGGAATGGCTTGAAACAAAAATAGTTTCTAAAAGTTTGGGTTCTGTAGAATGGAAATTCACTAGATGTAAATTGGGTTTAATTTTTCCACTTTCAAACACCCGCATATTATTGTGCAGATGCAATGAAATTTGGAATATTATGTATTGAGCATAATGGTTTTTCCTTTGAATCTCTCAGGCGAGTTCACACTCCGTGCTTTTCTAAATGGTCGTTTGGATCTCTCACAAGCTGAGAATGTGGGCAAACTTATATCAGCTAAATCAGTGGCTGCTGCAGATTCAGCATTGGCAGGAATGCAGGTGACTTAATTGATATTTCAAATTTCATTGCCTTCCTATCCAGTATATTTTAAACAAATCAACGACAGATCTTTGGCAATCCCTATTTTTTCTAGTCTGCTTTAGCTTACATCATGAAGGCATTCCTGAACTTCTATTCCTGGTGACAGGGTGGCTTCTCTTCTTTAGTGAAATCGTTAAGAGCTCAGTGCATTGAGTTGCTTACAGAGATCGAAGCTCGTCTGGATTTTGATGATGAGATGCCTCCCCTTGAGTTGAACCTAGTTATAGATAAGATACAAGGGATGTTGCAAGAGGTGGATAATGCTTTGGAAACTGCCAATTATGACAAGCTTCTTCAATCTGGATTACAGGTACGTTGTGCCACGGAATCTCTGATGAATTTTGATTGCATATTGAAGGGAAGTACATCGGAAGAATATATTGTAGAACATGCTATCTTAGAATATTGCCTCAGACTTCTTACCGACTTTTTATTTTCCCCTTAACCATTTTAACTATTTAATCTCTCTTTTTGCTCAATTTTGCATATGAGGATAAATTGTCAAAAGTTTACTTTAATATACTTAACCTTTAAATTTAATATAGCAGAGAAATCATTCATGCTACATTCTTGTGTCTTTTCGTCATGCTTTTCTTAAACATATTATCTTTTTCAACTCAAATTTTATGATTTTTACTAATTATTTACCAAATTACCTTCAGATAGCAATTGTTGGCCGACCAAATGTTGGGAAGTCGAGCCTGCTTAATGCGTGGAGCAAAGTATGGTTTGGAAACTTAATTTTCTGGCACTGAATATATTTATTCTGTTGTTATTGTTGTCATTGGTACATGATTATCCACTCTGGCATCTGAATCCTGTCAGTCTATGCTAGTATTCTCTCCCTTGGTGTTAACCTATTTATATGTTTTCTTTAATGCCGTTGTTTCGCCGACGTTATTCTTTGGGTATGTTTTTCAAATGTAACCAATTACATAAATTCCTGCTAGCTATTATCTACACTTCAAACTAGCTTGTGATATAGCTTGTCATATTTTTTTGATAACATGAGCATCTGTAAGGCCATTCTCTTCTCAATTAATTAAATTGAATGTTGATTTTATCTTTCATGAAAATCTCAAAAGCTGGTAACTTACATGTTTAATGTGATTACAGCGTGCTTGTTTCCTTTGTCTTTTTTTCTGGAACTCTGTGCAGAAATTGGTAAATTTAATTTTCTTGACTTGTTGTATGCAAACAAATTCTTACATGAATATTTGTTTTATGATTTTCTGGCCTTTTACCTATCTTTTGACCAGTATGTTTAATTTTGTGCTCTTAAAATGCATTTTAGCGTACAGAGTGAGAAGGCAATAGTCACAGATATTGCTGGTACAACACGTGATATAGTAGAAGCGAATATTTCTGTTGGTGGCATTCCTGTTACGCTCCTTGATACAGCAGGTATCAGGGATACTGACGACATAGTGGAGAAAATCGGTAAGATCTTCCTAGCCGACCATTTTGACTGATTTTGACAGAAGTTAAATGCTGTTTGAAAACAAAGATATTTTGTTACCCGTATTACATTCTGATGACCAGGCTTATAAAGTTGGTAATATTAGTTCATTTTATTACAAAATAAAGTTGTCGAAATTAGTTATTTGTTTGACATGAACAATTTATTTCCCACTGTGACGAGGTCATATTTAGGCATCTGGTGGTGTGAGTTGAGTATCCTAGTGTTAATTGTGACTGTGATTCTATGTTTAAATTTCTCTTTCGCACTTTGCTAGATGGGAGAACAATTAAACACTTCCAATTTCTGATACTAATATCAGCACGGTTCGGATTACATATATTTGCTGATATGTAATTCGCTAATTGCATCTGGAAACAATATGATCTTTTTCTCAAATTGTTGCTGACTATTTTCTTCTCAGGCGTGGAAAGGTCTGAAGCAGTTGCTACAAGTGCTGATGTCATTGTAATGACTGTAAGTGCAACAGAGGGATGGACTTCTGAGGATGAAAAACTTCTTGAGAGGATTCAAAGCAATAAGGTTTGTTAAGCCATTCTATTTATTGCGTGTTCCCCATTCGTAGTTGGTTCTTATTGAGAATTTTGGTGCCTTGCCTTGTACTTTTTAGTCCCAGATAATTATTTATCCCCTTTTTTCCTCCTCTGATGCACATTAAATCTTGGGGTCTCACTTATACTAGATCATTTGCGTTTTATTTGGTTTAATTAGGAAAAAATCCCAAAGAACCTAAACATATTTGATGATTTCTCTTCAAATTCAGAGTGGATCTTCATCGACTCCAGTAATTCTTGTGATCAATAAGATAGACTGTGCTCCATCTTCTTCTTGTGATTGGGTTAATACACTTTCCAGCTCTTTCAACAAGCATGTTTTTACCTGTGCTTTGAGTGGTCAAGGGATTCCAGATTTAGATGCTGCGATAATAGAGCTCGTAGGCCTAAATACGATCCCTACCGGGGGTCGCAAATGGGCAGTGAACCAGGTTAGTGTATAATTTCATTTTCTTAAATTCACTTCATAGGAATTGCGTCGTGTTTGAACATCATTTACTTGAACACGTAGCATTGTAGTTGAAGGTTCATGTAAGGTTATCGTATTTTATTCACGTTGGTTTTGAATTTTTCTCCATTATCAGAGACAATGTGAGCAGCTGGTTCGAACAAGGGAAGCTTTCATAAGGTTGAAGTCATCAATTAACGAAGAGATACCCTTCGATTTTTGGACAATTGACCTAAGAGAAGCTGCTTTGGCGCTCGGGCAAATAAGTGGAGAAGATATTTCTGAAGAAGTATTGTCCAACATATTCGGTAAATTCTGCATTGGCAAATAGTTTCCTAATTGTGCAAGTAAAACTGAAAATAATAAATTTCACTACATTTCTGCTTGCAATTGCAAGTGAATGACTATATTTTCTCTCTTTTCCTTTAAATCTGCTATTTCAATCAAAGACATAATATAGAATAAAGAACAAATATCAATAAAAATATTAAGAAATGGTAGAGGTGTAATTTTCAAGCATATTGGTTTGTTGCTCTCATTCTGGAAGCCCAACTCCCCTCCTTCTGAGATCTTCTTTTCAAATTTGAAAGCTGAATTTCCCATTTATCTCTTGATGCTTCTCCACTTCTTTCCTCTCTGCATTTAGAATCTTGTTCCAGCAAATTTTCATAAGCCTTTTGTAACTCGACAAAAACCCGAGTTGATTCTTCTGCCATAGAAGGATCACAAACATCGGGATGATAAAGGAGTGCCATTTTTCTGTAAGCTTTCTTGATTTCGTCCAGGCTTGCATTAACAGAAAGCTCTTTGTGAAAGTCGATAGCTGCCATTTTTGCAGATGGCAAGGTTGTCTTGCAAGAAACAGACACAACCTTAAATTTGAGATGCATGGGAAAGCTCTTAGAGTGGGAAAATGGCATAAACACAGTGCCACTCTTTAGTGCAGAGCTTTGAATTACATTCATTTCCCTGAAAGATTTTTTTGAAGAATATTGGGTGGGTTATTCAAAATTATAAGATAAACAAATGTATAACGGTGTGCTACACTTCTTGATCTATGTATTTATATGCATACTCCACTAGGTTAAATGCAGACAAATTTAAACGCGGTTTCTTTTCATGTACATGTAAGAATTAGGAAAACACCAGGCTTATGGATTTATATACACATTTGGTCCTTAATGTTTATTTTGTTCTATATTAATCACTAAAGTTTCCTAACGATTTTAATTACTTTGTTGGTAATATACACGTAAAAAACTTTTATGTATGCGGTTAAAAGCCACCATGTGGCATTAATCGCATTGCTAAACGAGCCTTAATTATGCTAAAAATGGGATGATGAAACCATGAAGCCCTTTCTTCTTTTAATTGATTTAAATTTGATTAATGGATTATGAACCAAGAAATGAAATCAAATTGGGAGAAAGAATAGGGTTTTTAAGGGGTTTTTTTTTATTGCATATCTATCACCGTTAAAGCTTGCATGACAATGGAACCGATGTCGATCATATGAAAAAAGACTCGCTTTTGAGAAAATAATGATCTGCTCTACATAACAAAACGGCTTTCACAATTTGACGTACTTTTCACCTTAATATAACTAACGAAGGGATGAAAGTGAAATTATTAAGAAACTTTATAAACTGATTTTGGAACAAAATAAACTTTAATGACTAACTTGGAATTTCACTACAGCTTGAGGACCCAATGTTTGTCTTTGGTTAATGGAACGCGGTCCATTAAATCAGCTTTTTTTAATTCATCAAATTCAAAGAATGGAAGATTTTTTGGATTATTAACGTTATAATCATTGGGAAGTCCAAAACCAGGGATTTGGTTTCATCGGACAGCTGTTTTTGACTGATAATGCCAATGTTGTGTCAGCAGTTAGACTCGTCAAAGATGGTATGAAAATCTAAGAACCTTCTGTGCACACAGAATTCTACCAGACCACACACAGCACAAGTGGGGCCCTCATTTTTTGTAATATTTTATTCACAGTGGGACCCAACTCCATATAAGATTTTTGGTGAAATTCGGTGGCCATTTTTCTGGACAAATGGTTTCAGCCAAATCGTAATAGGCTATTCAAAGAAAAAAGTTGTAGCAACTAGCATGTGTTTGTTTTTGTGTTTAGACTCTTCATATATGTTGTAAGAATCGAAACGGGTTAGTCGGTTTGAACGGCAAAGCTCAAAACTCGACTATCGATCAATCTAATTATAGGTAAAAACTGTGAATAAAAATCAATAAAAGCTAGTCAACCAACAAATTTAAGTGGAGTACATAGTACTTCTATCGAGACATGTTTATCGTGATTGGATTTTGATGCATAGTTGTATTGGATAAAGACCTAAATCTTGATTTAGCTAGAAAAGGAAGAAAAAAATTGATTTTTTGAAGACTTGACAAATTGACACATTCATGTAGGGCGGTCGAAAACATAGAATAAATAGTAAAAATAAGAACTTGAGCAAACAAAGACTCAAAATGAAATCCTAATCGGACATGGATGATGGGTATTTGGCAAGAATTTTGAAAAATCAAAAGTCTACTGAAATTAAATAGTTTTTGAACATATTTGAATAATTTTCTAAAAGTGATTTATTTGATTAGAAGAGCGTTCTTCAAAAATACTCTTTTACATGAGGTAGAAACACAAACACAAGTCATGTGAAACGGGCAAATTGTACGAGTCAAAACTCCATGGGTAAGGGCAATAATGTGGTAATTACATAAAATCAGGCATTTTCTTTCACATTTAAAAAAATCAGGTTTTCACTTTTTTTTTTTTTTTTTTCCTTCTTTTTTTCAGGTTTTTATCATTTTAATAAATTAAAGCCTTAAATCTATTCAAATCCTTAATATATCAATTTCTCTCCACCCTCTCACCTCTCTCAACACNCTCCTCCTCCCTCCCTACCTCCTCCTCCCTGCCAGAGCTTCTCATCCCTGTCGATTCACAGCAGCGTCGACTGCTGCCGAATCACAAGCGTCGACGCTAGTCTGAGCAGCGTTCGACGTTGCTGTGAATAACAGCAACGTCGACGCTGCTATGGTTGTGGGGGGTTGAGGGTTTTTTGTTAGGTACAGCAGCTATGTTGTCGGCAGTGATAGGGGTTTTTTTGTTGGGCACAGCAATTGTGTTGTTGGGTACAGTACGCTGCTGTGTTGTCGGCGGTGATAGGGTGGGCGTGGATCTGGTGGCTGCGACGGGGTGGAGGTGGTGTCGATGGTGCTGTGTGTATTTGCTTTGGGTGTGGCTGATGGGTGGATGGATTTGCTGTGGGAAGCTGTGTGGTGGTGCGAGCGGTGATGGGACGGTTGTTTTTTGTTATTATTATGGCGGTGGTTGTGGAGGTGTTGTGATGGGGTGACGATGGTGGTGTTGTTCAGGCGGCAACGGTGGTGGTTGGTGGTGTTATTATTGGTGGGTGTTTTAGGGATTAGGGTCGGCAGCGAATGAGACGAAGTATATGTGACCAACTATTTGGTGATTCTGTGACCTGTGACAAAGTCTTGTTGGTGTATTGGGATTGGAGGACAGGTGTGGCGGATGGGTCGAAGTGTCTGTGACCATCTATTTGATCGATCTGAGATCAGTGACCATCTATTTGGACGGTCTGTGACCTCGAAATATTCTGTGACCTACAAAATTTTTGACCTGTAAACGATAAAAAAATTGAACCTAAAAATTTTAGATCTGTGACCTCGAAATAATCTGTGACCTACAAAATTTTTGATCTGTGACCGGAGAACAGTCGTCGGAGTGCTTGCGGGTTACAGGAGTAGTCGTCGGAAGGGGAGGGGAGGTGAGGTGGGGTGGGGTGGGGTGGGTTAACGGTGGGCGTGTTCGGTAGAGATTACAATTGAAAAACTAGCCATTATTATTGACTTTTATTAGACGAGTGAGACCCAATAACGGCCATGTTTTCAATT